GTGTGTAGGTTTTGGATTCGCCCAAGCCAACACTAAGCCTTGTTTGGGTTGTGCCAAGGTTTGTGCTGCGCGCGTACAAACATTCGCCCGAGGAAAGCTGCAGTACTTGAAACCCCTAGCAGCAATGAGGAGCAAGACTGCTCCTTCACACGCATGCCGAAGACCAAGGGCACGCAACCGCATCAGCTGCTGAGCACGCAGCGTGGGAATCAGGCTTGTACGGTAGGCCAGACTGACTGACCATGAGACAACGAAGAAGGTATTCGTTGACCTACCAGCAGCCGAAACAAGCACCCATGCCTTGTGCACAAAACGACGGAGCTGTACTTCGCTTGCCTTCTGCAGTTTCTTTGCCGCAGGCTCGCTTAACAGGGCCGCCTGAAGAGTGGACAGGTATATCAAGTGTCATCCTAGCATGGTGCAATATTGTTGAAGACAAGAACCGGACTGCTCACAACTCGTCCGGTGACACAAAACACGGGCACCGGTGCCAGATCAAGAGCGAGTGGCATTACAGGTGTTGTAAGTCGAGGTATCTGGAAGGTGGCCACGCGCTGGCCACTCGTTCTCCAGAACATCAAGCGCTACTCGCCACCTCGATGTTTCCATACTTGCATGCGACAAAACCCGCTCTCCCCGACTGGGTGCAGGAGGCTGGCTGGTGCCCGATGCAGAGCGCATTCAAGTGCAGATTCGAGGTGACGAGGCATGGCTTCAGATTGTAGAACCTCGCTGAAGCTTCGCAAAGCTTCGCGAAGCTGGGCATGCTGAAACCCGAAACTGCAGGTAGCCAGCTCTGGAGGTTCCTTCGAAGCCTCCACAAAGTCGATGGTTGACTCATAGCAACGTCGCCTATATTTTTCTGTATGACTGCTCCCCTAAATTGACAGGATACCTAACATTCGTCCATCATTTGTCGTTGCGGCCAAGAATCAAAGTCAGTAGACTAGTAGAAGCATGCAAGGTCTGCACGTGCAGAAGCAGGTGCTGCACACGCTGCATCCCGAAGACGAAACAGCACCCAAAGGTCCCAAACTAAACCTCAGGAACGGCTCAGAAACCTCTCAAGTCGCTGACATGGCGAGCGGCTTTCCTCCCAAGTCCTCTACCAGGCCGATGGAGGCAGCCCACTCCGAGGCCATAGTGCAGGCCTCAAACGGCAAAGAACTGAATTTGTTGAAGTTCAAAAAAATCCAGCATCATAATGTTAATATGTTCAGATTTATGATGGTTCTCTCATCTTATCTGTGTTTTTCTTGACGGTGGTGGTGATGATCTGATCACCCGGGCTGCCTCCTACTCATTCACCTGCAACATGGACGTGGCCTCGACAGTCGCAGTGGAAGCGAGCGAGGCGAGGATTTCGGTGAGGGGAGTCCATTATGGCTTAGGGATGCTTAGGGCCTGTAGGGCTTAGGGTGATCTCTCGAACATCGCTGGGAGTGCAAACTCGACGCCAAGATCGGCCAAGCGTGCACATGTCATGTCGTGTCTGTGCAAGTTCCCTCCGAATAGGACAATGCTCGAATCGAGAACGTCCGCTCTCTTTGGGCACATGGGCCGGCTAAGCCGATTGCTTTTCCTCTACAAGCTGCGCCTCCACCCCCCCCTCACACACACACAGTGGCTTCTTGCCTCAACCCAGCGTGATGTGCTTGACTAAGCAGGTGGACGGGGGCACCATCACTGTGATATTTCTGCTTTTTCCGAAATGACACGTCGAAGTATTTCTTGCATGAAGTCTGTTGGTGCGACATGCGCCGACGAGTGAAGTAAGCCAGTGGTCTGGAGGCACTGACCCATGTTGATGCTGCAGCCACTGCAGCCATTTTGCGACTGCTCCTGTTACCACCACTACCGGTTACGGTGACAAATACCGCGCGCAAGCGCGAGTACCGTGGCACCACCACCGGCTACGACAACGTCCACATGAGCACCAGTTCAAGCATCCCCTCGCGGATTCTGGAGTGAAACTGCCGTTGAAATGGAACTTCACTATTCACTGACAAGTCCCCCCACTGCCTGCAAAGCCATGTTCAGGAACTGTGTGCTGAGCGGGAGGCCTGAGCCAACTCACGAAGACACACCAGCCATGTCTATCCATGTCTCTTCAGGTATACATCGGTGCGTCGAGGCGCTCCGAAGCTTTGCCTCGCCGAAGAGGCCCAAAGCAAAGGCCCAGCTGCCAGGAGAGCCTGCTCGGATTAGACGTCAACCCTTGGTTTCCACACACGCAGCAAGCACCACTTGAGGATCCTTCCCCCACTTTCACAGAGTCCGCACACACATTGATGGTGGCCCCAAGAGCCATCGTGTCGGGCCGAACACTTTGTGAACCTCCAGTGCAGCAACTGCATTGTGCCACTGCGCGACATGACTGACAGCCATCGTTCATGGACCCTGAGGTGCAAACGCATCTCCCAGCACAGGTGAACAGCTTCACGCCACAGCCTGGAGCACACCGTCTTCTTTACACAAAGCGGATAAACCCATTTCACAGCTGAAAAATCATCGTCTGTTGCACCAGCCGTGCGAGCTCCCAATGCTGGTACACGGAATTCGGACAAGCTCAGCTTCGCACGATCCGCGACGACAAGCATGGATAGCAGTTGTGTAGCTCACCACATCCGGAGAAAAGTTGACGGCTCGAATGGTTTCCTTCATCGATATACAAAGCAAGTGCAACAACGTCGAACTCAAAGGCAATGGGCTAGCATGCCAACAACAAACATCCAACTGCAGCCCGCTCACCAGCATCTGCAAGGCATATTCCCACAAACCCTCCTGCACAGGCCGTGATGCAAAGCCAGGCTTCATGCCAAAAACTGCCCATTCGGTCCCCAGCCCCGTCAAAGTAACTCCTTCGAGGCACCTTTCAGAATCGTGTTGTACCTTGCCGGGTCCGAGCAGTTGCCACTTAAGTCTTCACTATTCACTATCCTTCCTGATACAAACCTGCCACCAAGCATCGAATCCAGGTCTGGCCGAACCGAGTAGTCCGGCATGCCACCGAACAGGTCATATGCCTCCCAAAGCTGAGATTTAGTTGGAAGGTGCAAACGCGCACCACTCACGCCCACAAGCAAGGCTATCAAAGGCAGACCGGCAGGTGGCTCTTATATGTGCCTTGAGCTTAGAACTCCGCTTCTCTCTCTCGGGTTCTCGTGCCGTTCCAGGCTTCGCATCTTGAATGACATGACATGATCAGCTGATCTGCGCAGAGTGCCTGCGTCAACTGCCCACAGTCGATGTAGGCGCTCATTGCTGTGTTGAGCACGACCTGGGCATCGTAGCAAGATAGAAGCAGATAGTTGAACGAAGTGGCGCAAGATGAGAGGCCGACCGTGTTTGGAGCAGTACTGATGCTGACCATGTCCTGATCCAGACCGTGTTCGATTCTCGGGCGGCAGGAGCAACACAAATCGCATGGACCCAAAACACCGGCACACAGTCCTCGAGCAATTTGCTTATGATGTCAAACTGGCCCTGACACACAAGTTGCGGCAGTCTATCGCCAAGCACTCATCACTGCAGGATTTGCAATATGTTTCAGCGCAATCATGATTCATCCTGTGCTTCGGTCCTGTCTTTCAAGGCTTAGGCTTAGGCAGGACTGCAGTCTGCCTAAGCCTTGTGTGGATTTGTTCTAGCCATTTGGATGAGGCCATCGGAATCACGGAAGCGATGCCCCTGTGTCGAAGCCCGTGGGATCTTCACCAGCCGGTTTCCGGAGGTTCAGCATTCTAAAGACGACATAGAACCGCGCTGCAAATGTGCGCAGCATCACGGCATGTGGCAGTGGTGTGTGGCTGGGCGAGGTGGATACCGGGTTGAGGCCTGGCCACCACATGCGGCAATCACCGCGCTGAAGACAGTCACGCCGGGCTGCATGCTTTGGCTCCTGCGAAAGGCATAGCGGAAATCAAAGTGTGACAGCTCTCACCGTGCAGATGAGCCGTACCTCATGTCTCGGAGTAAGCGAAGAATCCGTGGCAGCTGATCCACCTGCAGGCTGTGCTGCAGCAAAAATGTCAGCGCATACCCAGAACACTTGCGAGAACTCCCGCAGATGAGCATGGCCGATTGGCTGCCTCTGCCTTGTTTAGAGCTTGCATGACGGAGAGGCATGTCACCTGGACGGGAGTCGATATCGACGGCAGAGCAGTAAAGGTCTCTTCCTCTTACTCAAGCTGGTGTACTTCGCTGTTGGCTGAACTCATGAAACATAGAAGCAGGTCTTCATGTCTCAAGCGGCCTCATTCGCCCGAACGGAATGATGCGGCAACTCTGCAAACCTTGCAGTGCAAAATGCCATAAACTTGCGACTGCTTCGCGAAATTCGAAAACATGAAGAATATAGTGAATGTAAGCTACACAACGTATATAATGTAAGCCAGTGTTTGGGCCTGTTCCTGATCATGCCATGGCTGCGGCCACATGCACTGCTCCGGTCCTGTATACTGTAAGGATGTGGCAACCCCAAGGCATGCTGCCAGTGGTTGCTTTGACCACACGCCTCAACTTTCAAGGCGGCACGCAAGTTATGCAGAACCTTGGGAGCTCTTAGTCTCTGCTGTGAACCTGAGCACGCAGCTTGAATCGCAGCATTGAAAGTCACTGCTGTTGGCATTGAATTCTTTCGCCGTTTCATGTCTCGAAATAAGGCAAGCGATGACTGCCAAAGTGAAGCATCTGCACAGGCGCTGATAGCCTCAGATCATGTCATCTGGATGGACACAACATCTCCCCGCTGCTTGTGCTCCCCATCCCTGACAGCATCATGATCCACAGACTATCGAGATCCGGGGTTTAGAAGGGTTGGATTCCAAGGCTGTGGCTGAGGACCGAAGGGAATGGATCGGCATTCATTTCAGAGGCCGGCTTTCTGCTGCAACGATTGGTTCGGAGCATGCTGCACGTGAAGGCCAAAGCTGCTTGATACATATCCCTGCTGATCATAGCTACCCACCTGGAAAAATATTAAAACACGAGTGTGCCCTCTCCTCAAAAGCGAGCGATGTGAGACTTGGAAAGCTTGCGGCCAGGCGACAACATTGAAGCACATGCTGTCTGGAACAGGTAGGAACGATTTTGGAAGATCAAGCCCAGACCGCCGATGCTTTGCCGACATCTCTGAGAGAAGATGAAGCACGTGTGGCCACCTGCCTGTGCAAGAGGACACACTGACACTGCACAGTTGCTAACCGAAGCACAGGCACAGTTGATGAAAACCATGCTGCCTGCGTTTCTTGCGCTAGCTGATAAGAAAGCGCTGCTTGAATTAAACATCTGGTGCGCGATCTTGTATAATCCCCTCTGAGGCTGCAGTCCCCACCTGCACTTCGAAGAGCATGCAACACCGTAACGCAAAGGTAGATGTCCACGTTCACCGACAAGCCGGCTTCACCGCTTTGACCGGTCTGCCAAAACATGTGTAGAGCCTGCACAAACTCTCAGTGTTTCATGGTGTCAACTTACCATCCATCTGATCAAACTTGGGGGCTTGCCTCACACCACATTCTAGCAGCACCCATCGCGGCAATAACGCTCGTCACAGAGGCGGCTGTGGGTCTCACTTGTGCTTTCATTCGGTCCAAGTGCGCCAGCGCCTCTCAGAGCTATACTGCTGTCAGTAGGGCCATACGATGTACGAAAACGGAACCATTTTAATTCCTGAGCAATCCAGCATCGGCCTCAGCCCAATGAGAGCTTCTGGAGCAAGCATCCAAGACGGCATTGTGCATCTTTGCATCAGCTCGCACTGCTTGCTGGCCTTCAAAGCGTGTATATGTTCGGATTCTACGTGGATTCTACCTGCAGAAGTGATTACACTACCGTTGTCTCTCGCTGACTCCTGCCTAGACTTCGCAGGCAGGCCAAAGCCTCCCGCCAATCGCTCGCTGCAGAAAGGACGTCCATTGCGTCAATCTGCATTTGTCTGCGCCCCACCTGGGAAGTCACACTTGCAGCATCTTGCGAGTGCGCATCACCCCAAACGTGCCGCGGCCACCGGATTCGTTGTCCCAACCCTTCATCCTAAAAGCTTGCATTTTGGTTCAGTACATGCGTTCAGCTTGGTGGGAAGGAGGCTCTGCTGCATTCGACGGAGTGGTGCAGCACTACTGGTCATACTAACAGCGATCTTCCCCCCCCACCCTCCCCTCAATCCGTGCAGTGGTTCGCGGCGAGCTTCTAATAGCTGCGCCGAGTAGCTGGAAAAAGCGCCCTAACGGGTAACAGAGACGCATCCAAGTCAGATTTGATTCCACAATGCTTTTTGGGATGGCCCTGGGAAGGCTCGGCAACCATTACCGCAACAGTAGGCGAGGCAACGCATCGCTCACTCCGCGTCGGCGGCCCGCCATCTCGCTCCACACTTTGTGGCTCTGAGCTCGTGAAGCTGCAGAGACACGCAAAGGACAGGCACGGATTAGACAGCAGTGTAGTCTACATCGGCCCGGTTAGGTTCCTGCTTTAACTGCACCACCCCTGTGCACAAGCACCTTGGCACAAAGACAGTTCGAGGGTTGCTCGGGGTTGCCGTCAAAATATGACCGGACAGCTTCAGTTGTGCCCTGTGCATGAGGTGGTGTGGGAGGCCAAAGCGTGAAGCCCTTCGTTGCAGATGGAAAGTCACTGTGGATTGGATGAAAGCTCTTTGGTGTGGTGGATTCTTTTCCTGTACTGGATTTTTCGTGCGGCTGAATGGAAAACGAACCCTGCTAGCTGCTAGCAGCCTGTGAATGCTGGTCGTGGTCAGTGCCGCGGATTTTGTGCCCCTTATGCAGAGCAGAGCATGCAAGATTCCCATTCACCTCAGCTGCTTTGCAAGGCCCTGGCAGCTTCTGATTTCTCCACACAGTCTTGCATTGCCTCAGCGCGGCCATCACTAAAACACGCGAGGGCTTGCTCCTGGTGCTCGGAGCAGCAATCGAGGCAAGCACATCATCGAGAGCAACACGCCGCCGGTGCATCGTCTCCGCAAGAGCCAAGACGTGCTCCCACTGCCTGGCTGTAAAACCTTCCGAGCTTCGGAAAACTCATTCCCTGCCGCCCCGGCCTCGCTGATCCGAGTGCCGCCGCAGCAGAGTTGTAGCTGTAGATGGTTGGCTGCAGCCTCGAACACGCAAGCCTTCACCCAGAGACCCAGGGCTGAGAGAGTCGGGCCTTTGCCGTGGCAGCTGGTCCAGAAGCTCAAGCGCTCGCTCCCACTGCCCGCCGTAGCCACACACGCCAATCGCAGTGTTGATGATGGGCAGATCCAACACCACACCTGGTCCGGGAGCATCTTCCCACCAAGACTCTGAAGACGGGTCAGGTTCCACATGACACATGCCATGCCTCAGTATGCCTGGACCCGGATACTTCCCACAGAAGGCCTAGATTTAAATTAGAGAGAGCATACTCTAGACTCCATCGGCTCTCACTGACAAGGAGTCCGTTCGCATTGCATTCCTGCTTTCGGTATGTCAGCCCACTCCTGATAACCAAGCCGCCCTGGTTTTGTGCAGTCATGAAGTAACAAACAAAACTCGCAAAAAAAGGAAGGCTTTTCCGCAGCTGGGCCTCCGTCTTCGGCCATGGAAAGCAAGCTGAGGGCCTGCTCCCAGAGCCCCTGCCGCCGCAGAGCTCCGATCGCTGAGGTGTAGATGGCCGGGCGAGGCTTGGGAGAGCCTCCAGGGAGGTCAGTTCCCTGCAAACGTGAAAAGAGGGGTTATGCTGTTTTTGTCAGCTGGGAGAAGTAGGACGGAAACTGCTGCTTTTGATGGTTTTTCTGTGACGATGGCACGCATCGAATCAAGACTGCTAGAACCAAGAAGATGAAAGCCTCGAGCAGCCGCCCATTCCAATTGCACCAACAACTGGAGGCTCCGTTGCCACTGGTCACCTGCACACTTGCAAACTCAGGATGAATAGGACTGAGGACAGGTTGCACCCAACCAGGTCCAGAAGTCCAGAAAGTTCAGATGTGATGCCTAGAACTCCCTGAGGTCTTGTCTGATTACGTGCTACCTCTGACCGGCCTCGAGCCAGAGCAATGAGGGTGCACTCCATAGCCTCCAGGAGCAAAACCGACGAAAGGCACGACGACAAGAGTGGTGCAGCTTTGGCTAAGACTTCGGCGACATCTGCTGGCACACGGGTCTGGAGAGACTCTGCAAGTAAAGCCACAGCCTGTCATAGGAAAGACTGGCAACTTAAGAGCAGGATCGAGCAAGCAACTGACTGAAGAACTCATGGCTCCTTCGGCCAGTTCGATGTCTTTCCTCGCAGGACGAGGCCGTACCGTGCCAAAAGCCACGCCACGCATTAGTCTATCCGCCAAGCTGCCACATTGCAAGATCCGCGGAACCAACACCTCGTATGGGCTCGGAGTTACTTTGACGAGTCACTGTGCGACATGTCGCGGACTGCGGCCCTTCGTTGCCTTCTCGGTCTTCGGCTTCGGCTTCGGGCGCTGCACGGGGGCAGCTCGACCCTTGCGGGAGGTGAGCTCGGAAAGGCGCGTCAAACGCTACGACTACGATGCATATATGCATCAGCTTCAACACACAAAAACCACGGCGAGGTCACAACAAACTCATACAGCGCGTGAACCAGAACATAGTCAAGCACCGACTCTGCAAGCTGCCCAAGCCTGAAGGATCTGCAAGGGCGACTCCATGGCTCCATGTCTGCTGCATATCTTCGGGGTTAATGGCTCACCAACATCTAAGTTTGAAGTCTCGGGTCATTTGTTGGAGGAACGTGCCCATCTCCGGACACAGACAAACAAAAGGGTGTTATCCAGACCACGAGGCTGGGTGCGAATGCGCCTTCGTAAGCTAGCCAATGCTGAACACAAAGCTGATAGCTTCGGGCATTTGATGCAGATGTTGCAATCACCTACGACATCTCTCAGCTGCAAAACCAGAGTTGGCTCCTCATGGCTCCTCTCTGTCCAACACTGTTCACTTCTTATTAAGTTGTGTCAGGATATGACTCTGCGACCGGCAGTGCACGATTGTCTACATGAGCCGCGGCAGGAACCTGACCGTGCAACTGGCTCCAGCTGCGTTCTAGGCCTCATGTCTGGGTGGGACAAGATGTACACATAGTGCATGCACTGAGGAAGGCACCAGCGATCAGCGCATGGTGCCGCCGCATTCGGCATGTTTTCTGAACCTTTCTGGGCAGGAGGTGTGGGCCCCCCCGTATAGACGAGCATGGCAAAGGGTGGGGCAGCGGCTGGACCAGGAGCTTGCAGACCTGCCTGGGTCTCCTCGGTCAGGCAGTCTGGCGCCGACTCGCTACCCGAAACGTGGCCCAGTCCTGGCCAAGATGGCACCTCTGGAATGGCTGCGGCCTGTGGGAAGCGAGAAGTTCGGTCACAGTGATCTTAGAAGTGGCACGCGGGATTGAAGGGTGAGCCTCTAGCAAAACTCCTCGTAGGCGCCCATATGCCTCACAAGCCTCTGGAACAGAATCGTGCCGCTTCGGCTCCACAACAGGTCACGAGCGCACCTCTTCCTGCAACTCAATGACACCAGGACCAGCCGGCATGGCAGCCTTGGCAAAGTGAACAAGACGCCCCAAACCGAATCACTTGGCTAGCATATGGCTGCAAGCGACACCTGGAATATTATCGAGCTCCGTACCAGCAGGGGCTCAAGTTGCTCCAGCGACTGGAGCAATGTCTGCACCTCGTCGCATTCGAGTGTTGCACTGCTGCGATATTGCACTCGCCTGTTTGCAGTCAGTCCTGAGGCCCGGTCTGGTGCATCTGTCACTGTGGCGTCCCGGCGCACCTTCACTCGCATGCTTGGTGATGGTGACGCAGTAAGACATGTCTGCTGTCTGCACTCAGCCAAGGACGTGCAACGACGCCGCCTCGAAGCACGCTGAATTGGTGGCTTGCCTGCGCTGAACACTTCTTCCACCTTCTTGGCGGATTCCAGCTCGGCGCGCAGTTCCGCGTTCTGTCGGAGAAGCTCCTTCAATGCAAGGCCAGGTCGACAACTTCGGCAAAGCTGCGTGTCAGGATCCAAATGAAAAGTTACGTAAGTAAGCGAACCACCTGCACTGGAAACCCAAGAGACCCTTCCAAAGCCTCCTGTGCAGCTTGAGCTCGCTGAGATCGCTGCGCTGAACCTCCACGACACGACAGGGCTTGAGATGTTTTGAGCAAGGACACTCCGCTACATGACACAAGCTCAGGCAGTTCACAGCAACGACCGCCTCCACCAATTAGGGCTTGGGGCTGAGCAAAGGATAACCTTGAGAGTCTGGTGATTCCCTGGTCCTGGGTGTCTGCTGGGCCACTGGCTTGGAGCCTGAATAGGGGCAGGCTCGGACTTACCAAACCCGAACACGAAAGACCTCAAGTCTTGAATTGGCATGTGGACTGTGCAGCCAAGGGTTAAAGGGGCTTTCGGATAATTATCTTGCACGGAACCGCTGTTGATGCCGGCCAGCCTCCCGGATGTGTTGCATCTCTTGACACTCTCTCAAGCGCCTCAGCCCAGCTACGAACTCCTTTCAAGATCCTCTACGTAGCGTTCTTTCGTCAAAGACTGCTACAACTGCCGGCATGTCTTGATTGCACTCCTTGCACTGTTGGCACTCCCTTGTTTTACGACTATTGGTGACACTGCTTGGTATATTCCGTCGCAACAGTGTGTCAGCTGTTGACGACTCTAGCCGAACGGCCTAACAAGCCCATTTGCTCGCAAAGCAAATCAGGAGGGTATTTACAAGCTCCCGCGTTCGGAGCAAAGCCTCGAACGCAGCAGATCAATAATCTCGGCCACCTACCGCAGCAACTTTGTCCTGTGTTGGCAGCCTGTAAAGCAATATGATCCAGTACTGGGGAGTGTGGCCGTCATGCGCCCCACCCACGCAGCCCCGCCTCAAAAAAGCCGCATCGCACGAACTGCTGGGAAGTACTGATCGTACTCGTCCGCTCCGCTTCTCCGTGCCGAAGCAAGCCCTCTTGCCAGGGTTGCCGATCCGTGGCCGGCTGTGTGGTCCTATTGGGTTTAGGGGTCGAGGGGTTCAGGGGCCGGGGGTTTGGGGCGAGACCACATGAAAAGAGCGCACCACACTCACAGCAACTGGAGTTCACGCCCCCTCACATCTTCTTGTGCTCCATGGGGACCACAAGCCGTAAAATCTTTGGCAGACCTGTCGGCAACTGTGGCACGGCTCTTAATTTAATACTGAGCTTGTCCTTTTTGAAACCAAGCACCTCTGTGGTGATCTTCAGAACCGTTGCAGTGCTCTCCCCCTTCATCTGCGCAATCTTGTGTGCAAGCTCCGGAATATCCTGGGTCGCCACATAGGTGGAGTATAGAGCGCTCTTACTGTAGCAAAAAGTCTAGATGCTAAAGTTCAAGGCTCCGAAGGATGAGGCGCCAAGTAGGGGGCATCCGTCTCCAAAACCATTCGATCCAATGGACAGTTCTTCGTGATTCGCTCTGCTCCCTCGCTGCACCAGACCATACTACTCACACCGAAGATGCAGTTGGGGAAGATCTTCAGCGCCTCCTCCAAGAATTCTGTTCCTCCTTGAAAGGCATGGATGTAAACCTTGTGCTGCCGCGGCAGGGTGGATTTCAGGACGTGCATTGTGTCGTCGTCAGCATCACGGGCATGGACGACTACAGGAAGATTGAAATCCTCGGTGTTGAGTGCACGAGCGCCACTGCCAGAATATGCCGAACGGACGGGGAGCACAAGCTGAGGACAAGACCGTCCCCATGCGGATCTGGCGTGCGAAAACGTTCAACATTTGCTGCCGTTCGGCAGGTATTAAAGACCTTCAACGTGTGGCTCTCAGACTTCAACCATCGCTGGAAGGCGGATCCAAACTGATATAGACAAATGTCGCGAAGGGCTACAGAGGACTGGGACCGAGTGCTGTTGAGAGGCTCGTCGTAGTTCTTCCAATAGTCAAGTCCGCACTCGCCCACCGCCACCACTCTTCGGCCACACGCTTGGATTTCCTGAAGCGACGTTGCATTGGAATACGCATCTTTGGGGCACTCTGCAACGCGGGACATAAAGAACCTCGAGCCAGGAGTCGGCACGCAGCCGCTTTTCGGCTTCGTCCGAGAAGTCTCGGTAGTCATGCGGATGGCATCCGATCGTGCAGTACACCGAGTCGAGACCCAGCTTCTCTGCGACGTCGATGATAAGCTTTGTGTCTTCAATGACTTCCTTAACCGTGCCCCAGTAAACCAAGCATGAAACCAAGAGAGCAAATGCCGCAAAGAACACAACATGCCAGCTCAAGACAGCAGGTTTCTGGGTTGTGTCTCTCGCTGCATCAGGGGAGACTTCGCGGACGCTGCAACTGAACCGCGATATATCGCGATATGCTTTGGGGGCAGTTGGGCGGGGGCTTCAGCGCGCAAAAGCCTCGCTGGAGTCCAGCGGAAGGCTTCTGGAAATAACGCTCCCATTCTTGAAATTGCCGAGTCTCAAGTTCACAGCAGTTTGTAATCAAGGACCTGACATCTCAGCGTGGCTTAGTTACAGCACCCCGCAAAATCACAGCTGCATACTCATTGATCTTTAATCGCCTCAGCATGGGCTCACTGCGTCTGGCTGCTCGTCCTCGGCCAGGGCGACTGCATGCTCATTCGACCGGCATTCGTTGTCTAGAGTCTAGCACGGGATCCAAGAGGCGCTGGAGCTCGGAGAGGTAAGGCTCCACATGCTCCGGCGCAAGCATTCGTCGGGGCTCCAGTTCCTGGCAGCGAGCAAAGCCCCCACGATGCACACAACTCCAGGCCCTCCGCAGTCCTGCTCTCCGTGGGCGAAATGGCAGTCCTGCAGAGCAGCTGACTGTAACTCACCCTTGACACACCGCCATCAACATGTTGCGGCGTATGCTGAATGCTTTGTTTGTTTCCTTGCCAACTTCAGGAGTTGCATCTCTGCGACTACTTGGGGGATGCTGCTGCGATTCCCACCATCGGCATGCTGTTCTAGTGCCAGCTGTGGCTGGTTGAAAACATTACTTACTTACACGCATATTCACAACCTCTCAACACCAGCTCGTTGTAGCTCCCTTCGTACATGATGGCGAAGCCCAAAAGCAGGCATACACCATTGCAGAAACGAGATTTACTTTCTCGGCTGTCGAATGCGCGGCCGACACCACAGTCAGCTGCAAAATGTTGCAATCAAAATACAGACTGGAACATCTGCAGAAGCGGGCTGGACGAAGCACTATCCGGCAAAGGATTGGAAGCTTCTGGGTGCAAACGTGACGTTGCAGCAATACTGGCATGCATTTCTATGGCAGGTGGATGATTACTCGCTGCATGATTTGGTAAACGATGGTGCCTGTTGCATCTTCTGCCGCTGTTGGCCCATGCCGCTGACTCTTGAATCCATGATACAGCAAGCCATCTGGGTAGGAACAGGGTGCAGCATGCTGAAAAGGTCTAAAGACCGTGCGTGCAAGCACAGCTGCCCCGCGTTGACATGCTGCGACACTCTACTCTAATATATTTGATCGTTGTGACTGGAGGCTTCCAACAACTAAGCTTGCTGGAAGTGCAAAGCACTTTCCTTTCCATCGTTGAGTGCGCGTTCGCCAGAAAACACATGGATGAACGAAGGCTCCTTGTAATACCAGCACTGGCCGGCAAGCCAATTCCTCGATGGGAGAAGACTACATCAATATAGGACTTGCGACTTAACCTCCCTCACATTGCTGTCACGTGACCCGGTACAGTACTACCATCCATGGGATTGAGGCCGAACGCTTTGAACGCTGCAAACACTCATTGACTATTGCAGAAGAGTGGCTTGCAGATTTTCTCTTTCGTGCCCTGCACCAGGCCACCAACAAATAAGTAAATCAAGCACGACAGGGATGAAGAAACACCCAAGTGGCCAACAGGAGTGTTCAGCCAAGTCGCCCACTGAGTGCCTGCAGCATTAGCCGTGAATGAAACTGTGCATACAAATCGCAACTTTGCATTGCACAATCGCAGTCCGAGAAACCGCCATTCAGCCGGTTGTGCAGCAGAATGTCCAAATGGCAATGGGCATCGCAATACGAAAGGTCACTCAACTCAAACCTTGGCGTACGCCCACTCTCAGGCAAAGCCAGGAGCAAGGGGCAGATTCGGCACTTCTGCAATCTTCTGCGCTGCGCCGCATCAAGATCCAATTAGATGGCCCGATAGCCCCCTATGTAAGGACCTCACAAGCCCTTGGAGTCCAACTGCGGCTGCTGGTACACCTTCTGCACCTCAAAACTCAAAAGTCAGAGGAACACACCCTAAACGGCCCTAGACTCTGACCTTTGGCAGGGCCTCCAAAGGCACGCCGCCGGGGGTGCAGCAGGGGCAGCCATCCCGGTTGCCGAAGGCTCGCCTCGGTTACTATCCTCTGTGGCAGAAATGCAGAAATGGAGCTGTCGCGGCAAACAGAACCGGCATCCTTCCCGATAATCCAGGGAGATGAGAACGGCGACAACCACGGTCAGGCGCGACGAAGATGGCGGCGTGCCGGGCACAACTCCACGGTCAGGGCACACGACGTGCCCACGCACCACTTCGTCGACGACCAGGTCCACATCATTCGGTGCGTGGTGGAGCTGGTCGCCCCGGAGGGGGCCAGTGCCCTGCGGGTCTTCGGCCGCTCCTGCTGAACGCCTACCGGCAGTGGCCGGCGAAGCCGCACTCGGGCACATTTTTGGATATTGGCGGCCCCCGACGGGGGTCCAGGTTTTTTTTGGGTATT